GATAAGAATGGAGACTATTTCATTTAATAAATGTTTAGTTTTGATATACAAGTTGTTCGGGTTTTTTCATCTAAAAAAAAGTGACATTAATTTCTTGACGACCTAATAAATCACACAAGTATTAAGTAATTTGATAATAGTTAATGTAAACGAAAAGATGGATAATCTGTGGCTAAACCAAGAAATTTCATAATATAATTTATGCACATATATTTTAATTTCTGCTTACTGTGTGCTGAAACAACTTTTTTGTTGTTGTTTCTTACAAGGATGATTTAGTCGGAATCTTCACGATGAACCTAGGTTAGATGGGGGCAGCAGCAGGCTTGTGAAGAAAGTTATGGAGGACTGACCTATTAAAGGAGTTCAAATGGAAGGACTTTAGTCCTCCAAGACTTCCTCCATAAGTGTCACGCTTTACTGGGTAGTTGTCACCCATTTCACCCTTGTTTGTTCATCGATATGATATTTGTTTAGGGTATTCTAGATGAAAGCCGTTATTGTGCATTGTGGTACAACATGGTAAAGTCGTGTAAATAATCTGTGTGGACAATCGGGGTTCTATTTTATATTATTCTTTCTGAAATTATTATTAAATCGTAAATTCATAACTTTGGTCAGCAGTACTCTCTCTCTCGATATTGCAATTACCGCCATCTATTGCTGAAATTTGGAACTGGACGCTAAGGTCTATCGTTCATTCACTCTTTGTTAACGCGTATTTTACACTTTGCATATAGAGGCCTGTAATTCTTAATTTACGACGTTGGTGGAGTTTCCTGTCTCCTCCTAATGATCGATTAAAGCAAGGACAATTTTTGAAAATGTAACAGAGATTGCCAGATTTTGTATGTGTGTTTATTTATGTTGGTCCCCTGTCCGTTTTCAACCTATGACACTTCTGTTTTTAGGGATAAACTATTATGTTCAAGCTAAATTATTTCAGTTTATTATACAGTTGTTTTAGATTTTAAACATATTGGTTTATATAGACTTAATTCACAAGCACTAGTTTTTTTAAGAATTTTGGGTTTGATAGTTTTTGTTTATTTTCAATTTACGAGCAAACAAGCAGAATATTCTATTACCACACTTTCGGAACCCAAACCACAGTTATACCACAAATTTATAATAGAAGATCCAATTATCCATCATATTTCATTTTACCAGGTGCCCCAACTATAACCAGCAGTGCCCCATTGGCTCAATGGTAATTGTGAAGGTTTATAACGCTAAAAACCAGATTTCGATACCTGTGATGGGCACAACACAGATAGCCAATTGTTTAGCACTACGCTTACCAACAGACAAAATATAACCAGCTTTAAGAAGTTAGGCTTAAGAAATATCCCATTTTAATTATCGATTTTTTTGTAACATTTGTTTCGTCGTAACGCCGTATATTGTTCATCGTAACGCCGTATATTGGTGTATTGTTCGTCGTAACGCCGTATATTGGTGTATATGGTAAAAATAAGCCACAATCGGAGATGTATTACATTTCTATAAGAGTTATGGGGTCGGTTTGTATTTAGAATTGAATCAGAATTAACAGGAAATTAGGCTTAGCACGGTCACAAAATAGAAAATTTCTAACATATATACATATTTGTATCCCCCCCCCCCAACAGCGAAACTTTTCTACCTCCGGGGGTCTCAATAAAACTGGAATTTATTGTTTCAGAGCACAAGTAAGAATTGAGAAAACCTTAAGTGTTATCTCTTGAGTGTGAGTCTATTCATATTTTATTGAAAAGTGCTCGAATCTGTTAAACCACTAGGAACCTTTTGAATATTTGTACTAGCACTAACACAAATGTTTGGATGCGACGTTTACAATGACGTTAATTTTATGTTTCTAGGAGCACCGTGTAGCGTACGTGAAACAGACAATTTTATTCTGTTTCTACACAATACAATACACTATTCTGCCTGACAAGAGTAGCTCAAGAATTGGCGGTGGGTGGTGTTGAGGAGCAGTTTTCCTTCTATTGGGTATCAGTTCAAAATTAGAGACTGCTGGGCTGTATGGAGATAGCCCCTGTGTAATTTGTGCTAAAATTCGAAAAACAAACCGCTTCTTCACTACAGTATTGTAGTTATATTTGTGTGTATTTTATGGCAAAGCTACTAGCGCCATCTACCGTCGTCCATAATTTTGAATTATTAACAAGAAGAAAGGTAGCTAATCAGTAACACTCTATCACCCATACTAAGGGATCGACTGTCGTTACTATAACGCACCCAGAACTTAAAATGCGGAAATATTTCGTTGTATCGAATAGATTCGAACCTGGCTCGTCAGCTCCGAAATTTAGGGCTCTATCACAGGACCATCCTGCCCCCTGGACGACTGCGTGAAATTGTTTTTCCTTTGGAAAAATATATTCATTTGTTATTTATTTTTTTACGTATTTTTTAGGTAAATTAAGTAATATGTTATTTCAGTGAGAGGAAAAGCTTGCTAACGCAGCAAATTATGTGATCTTATTTCATTTGCCCCCCAGTGGCACAGCGGTATGTCTGCGGACTTACAACGCTAGAATCCGGGTTTCGATACCCGTGGTAGGTAGAGCACAGATAGCCCATTGTGTAGCTTTGTGCTTAACTACAAACAAACAAATAATTTCATTTCACCCCCCAGTGGCACAGTGATATGTCTGCGGACTTATAACGCTAGAAGCCCGGTTTCGATACTATTGGTGGGCAGAGCACAGATAGCCCATTGTGTAGCTTTTTGCTTAATTACAAACAAACAAACATCCAATTAATTCACTTATTTAATCTTATTCAATTAAAATAGCCCGGTGAGTCAGCGGTAAGTTTACGGATTTATAATGCTGAAATCCGGAGTTCGATTCATCATGGTGGACAGCTAGCCAATTGTTTAGCTTTGCACTAAGAAACCAACAACGACCATATATTTTAGCGCAAATCAAACCACCGAATTTTAGCTTTGTAAGCCCCCGTAAAGTTACCGCTGATGTACTGGGGACCTGTGGAAAAGACTTACTTTCTTTAACGAAGAAATATCTGACTATTGTGATGATATTTCTTTATTTCAACGTTTCAGAGCCTTAGTAGTTAACGTGTCGGGCTGCGTATCGGAGGTTTAGGATTCGAGACATAATATCACTGAATACGCACCGTACTCCCAGCTGTAGACGTGTTATAAAAGTGACAGTCAATCCTATTATTCAGCTGGAAAAGCTGGATTAAGTGTAGCATAAGATCCCCTACAGCTTTAAAATTCAATTTTCTTTATTTATAACCTAGTGGTGCCCTCCAGTGGTTCAAAGTTAAGTCTGAAGGCAAATAACACTAAACATCGAGTTTCGATACCCGTGGTGAGCAGAAAACAGATAGACCATTATGTAGCTTTGCGCTTAAAAAACAAGCTACTTGATAGAAACTTGTTTTAATCTCAGTATCTTCAATGGGCTATCTCTGCTCTGCCCTCCACGGGTGTCGAAACCCGGTTTCTAGCGTTGTAAGTCCTTAGACATACCGCTGTACCACTGGGAGGGGGGGGGGCAAAATCTTTAAGTGAAATACGATTCAATAAATCGTATTAATTAACTGGTCGATTAATTAATGGTGCTGTTACGCCGTTATCCGGGAATGTATTCAAGGTTACCCGAAGAGGATGGCGGCGCGCGACCAAGTTGAGATTTTATTAATGAAAGGAAGATTTCGTCACATTGAAATTTAATGGAACTATGAAACGATAAAACTTGAGACTGCTGTTTGAAAATCTACCGTATACTTTTAATAAATAATATTTTGAATAACATCTCGTACTCCACTTTTCATCATCCTCAGTAGTCCCGAATGTACTGGTAGCGATAAAACAATCTCCCACTAGATATTTCCCGAGATGCCTCATTAACAATACTTTCTTTAGCCTTCATCCAAACGTGAATTTTTTTTACGTTGCATCATAGCATTCCCGGCATTGCCAGGTGGTTAGGGCCATCGACTCGCAATCTGAGGGTCGCGGGTTCGAATTCCCGTCACACCAAACATGCTCGCCCTTTCAGCCGTGGGGGTTTTATAATGTGACGGTCAATCCCACTATTCGTTGGTAAAAAGAGTATCCCAAGAGTTGGCGGTGGATGGTGATGACTAGCTGCCTTCTCTCTAGTCTCACACTGCTAAATTAGGGACGGCTAGCGCAGATAGCCCTCGTGTAGCTTTGTGCGAAATTCATAACAGACAAACAAACAAACATTATAGCAACTTCTTGTTTTTAAATAGCATTGTGCGATATGTATTGGTAAATATATAATGTTCTATCTTTCATAGTTACATTTTTTAAATATTGTTTTAGTGTTGTGCATTTGAGTGGAATTGTAGGTGGGGCATTTCTTGACTATTATAAATAGAAAAAAATATATATTTAAATTTTTTTTATATACAAAATCGTCAAAGAGAACCCAAATTGTTTGTCCGAAATGACGACACGTGTTTTAGTAAAGCTTTTCAAGTTTTATAGTTTTGTCTTGGCCTGGTGGTTAGGGCGCTTGACTCGCAATCTGAGGGCCGCGGGTTCGAATCCCCGCCGCCGAACATGCTCACCCTTACCGCCGTGGGGACGTTATGATATTACGGTCCATCCCACTATTCGTTAGTATTGAGTAGCGCAAGAGTTGGCGGTGGGTGGCGTTGATTAGCTGCATTTCCTCTAGTCTATCACTTCTAAATTAGGGACTTCTAGTGCAGATAACCCTCGAGTAGCTTTGCGCGAAACTCCTAAACAAACCAGTTTTGTTTTTGCTGATATTTTGTACAACAGTTTTTTGTTTGTTTTTATAATACAGGTTAATGTACTTTTTTTTTCCATATTTAATGTTAACGTAAACTGTGTTTCATGTAGGCTTTATTGGCGGCTGGAGACGACGGAGTTGGCTGGGATTTCAATCAAGCCGTGCGTTACCTGTTGTCCCAACAAGAACCGGGTGGATCGTTTGGCGATACTCTGGCCACTTACTTCGTACTTCCAATTCTTTCATGTCAGAACTACGTCAACTTGGGTGAGGTGAACTGCACGGAGCCAATACCGTTGAATGACACAGGTGTGTATATAAACCTCATTGATAAGCAAGCTAGTGCACCCTTCAACTGTTTCACTACCATGTGGGGGGTGGAAGTTTGTATCACCATGGAGAAAATGGATTCCCCACCAAACCTCCAAAAGTTTACTGTTTTCAAGTTTTGGAGAAGTAACGAAATATTAAAACATCGGTCTTTTAATTTTTCTATTATATATCAAAAATAAACTTCGCATTTTGGAGAGTTGTTTATCTATAAATGTGGGAGTGAAAGTATTGAGACAGAGAGTTGTTTATCTATAAATGTGGGAGTGAAAGAGTTGAGACGGAGAGTTGTTTATCTATAAATGTGGGAGTGAAAGTATTGAGACAGAGAGTTGTTTATCTATAAATGTGGGAGTGAAAGAGTTGAGACGGAGAGTTGTTTATCTATAAATGTGGGAGTGAAAGAAGTTGAGACAGAGAGTTGTTTATCTATAAATGTGGGAGTGAAAGTATTAAGTCACCGATACATACAGAAATAAGATCTAATCTGAAACCTTCTCATTGGTGCACAACGCTTGAGGTGCTAGAATAATTAAGCTCGTTAGGCCTAACAAGAGAAACAAAATCGCACATGAATGTAGATTTGAATCGTATCTTTGTTTTCAATAGTATGGTTATAGTAAGAACATTCAGTACGTTATTTTAGATTGTCATTTGTTCCCAAGAACTTTCGAGAACAATTCCACTTAGAGCATTAAACCTGGTAAATCTACACATAATATAACCGTTTTGGAGTAATAAATGAAAATATACAGTTCAATAATTAGGTGTAGTTTTCAAAACTTGGAATATTTTTTTCCGCAATGCTTTCAGTGGCTCAGCTGTAAAATCTTTAGACTTATAACACCAAAATTCGGGTTTCGATGCCCGAGGTAGGCAGAGCACAGATAGCCCCTTGTGTAGCTTTGTGCTTAACAACAAACGAAATGAGTTATTTTGTTTTCGAGAAACCTGTAAATTATAAATTTAAAGAACTTGTAACATTTAGCCGGAATTGACCTCACCCTTACGGATCGTCTAAGCTTATTGATCCAGGTTTGTTTGTTTGTTTGTAGTTAAGCACAAAGCTACACAATGGGCTGTCTGTGCTCTGTCCACCAAGGGGTATCGAAACCCGGAATCTAGCGTTGTGAGTCCGCAGACATGCCGTTGTTCAACTGGGCGACATTGATCCAGGCTTTGGGTAGTTTTAAAAACATTCTTATAAAGTTTACAATATGGCGTAAAATATTTTATAACTGAATAAACCAGCGAATGTTAAGGCTGAAATTAATCTTGTTTCTGTAAATTTAGTTTCATAGTTTTTCATAAATATTTTAAATATATTTCTTGTAATTGTTCGTTTTTAAATGGATTTATATTTTATTCAGGAACAGACAGAATCCGACTGGTTCACTGGTTTTTCCAAACTGTTTATGCATCAACTGAACGCCCGTTTTTTGGGCACAGCACAGATAGCCCATTGTGTCGTTTTGTGCTTAACAACATACAGAAGCATCAACTTACTGTTGGTTGAAGAGTCGCAAATAGCTAGGTGTCACGCTAAACATTTAAACATAAATGTTCAACAATGAAATTAATCCTAATAATAGTGAAAGAGTTCACTGTGTATTGTTACATAGCAACCGAGTCGTTTCGCCCAGTGTCTTGTTTATTTCTTTACACTGAATGCTGTAACTCTCAAAAATATAATATTATTTAATGTTATGCCCATTGGGCTATCTTGTATGAACACCACGGAGAATCGAACCCCGAATTGTAGCGTTGTAAGTCCTTAAACGTATCGCTGTCCCACAGGTGTACTGCAATATCGGTTCCCATCACCACAAACACGCCAGTAGTTTAGCTTGAATTTCATGCAAAGCTACACGAATGCTATCTTCGCTGGCCGTCCCTAATTTAACAATGATAGACTAGAGGGAAGGAAGCTAGTTGACACCACCCACCGCCAACTCTTGGGCTACTCTTTACCACCGAATAGTGGGATTGACCGTCACGGTTGAAAGGGCGAGCATGTTTGGTGACGGGGATTCAAACCTTTGTCTCTCAAATTGCGAGTCGAGCGCCCTAACCACTTGGCCATGCCCACACTATTAGCGAGTGAAATGAAAACAGATCGATAGTTTGTAATAACATTACAATTTTAAGCATTAAGTCAACACTTGGGCGTAAATTATTACTTCCTCTGTTACAATTCCTACAAGTTTCAAATTGTATTCTATTGGAAAAAAAAAAGTTAATATATAGTTCATTTAAAAACTGTCGAAATTAGTTTCTAACCCACCAGTAACCCGAGGAGACTAGAGTAAGCCTAATACTTGTGGCGAACCGAAAACAGTTTTGTTTTTGTAACTAGTTTAATCTTCGAACAGATCTCGTCGAAACGTGCCAAATTGCAAGGCCGTTTGTTATTTGGCGAATGGCGCCATCTATCCACCAATTTTACATATTCTTTGAAGTTGTAAAAAAAAAAAAAAAAACTAACTTCTGTTGGAAAAATACTAACTTCTTAAACTAAGAACTCTCGAGAAAAGGGTTATCCAATTTTGATTTGTTTGAAGTTAAGCACAAAGCTACACAATGGGCTATCTGTGCTCTGCCCACCAGTGGTATCGAAACCCGGTTTTTAGCGTTGTAAGTCCGCAGACATACCGCTGTGCCAGTGGGGGGGCTGTTCAAGTTTGTGTTAGTAGCGGATCACGTAGTATTTTGAATATATATATATATATATTTTTTCATGTAACTACCTGATTTAATATAATTTTCAGCTGATGTCCTGATATCCCCCGGAAGAGATTTTTTTCTTTCGAAAACCGTTTCGTTTTACTATGGTTTTTGTTAAGTCTGTGATATCGTAAATATTTATGACAGTAAATTATTGAATCGTATTTTAGTTAAGCCTTCGTGTATTCAAATAGTGAACGAAAACTTTACTCTGCTTGGAGAACCTGAGGTCAACGATGTGAATTGGTCTAAAGAAATCGAAGTTCGATACTCTCTGTGGATTGGAGACAATAAAGAAGAAAATTACTCAGTTAATTTGAACACATCTTCCGACACTAAATTTCTTGACGTCATGAAACATTCAGCCAACTATAACCCCGTTTACAAGTAAGTAATAAGTAGTCTTTCTTGTTTTAGTCATTGAAGGATGGGCGAAACAGAAAAGTATAAAGTTCAGAATATATACCCATTTGTGTGTGGGTGTGTGTTTAGGAAAATAAATATTTATAACTAGTATAAGGGGTGTTGCAAAATAAATAACACTTTTTCTCCCCCGAAGTAATGACGAACTTGGTAGGACCGCGAATATCATCACTCGTGAGAGAACGTCATTTCAAAGTACTCCTGGGTGTTTGACTCTTTGAATTTCATTGTTTTGCTAAAACTTTTGAATCGTGGTGATCACTAGAACTCAGGTTAATGTCTCATGTGCTGCCTTCGGGATGGCTCAGAAACTAGTCGCGGACATGCTCCGAGAATTCAAGTCTTCCAATCAACACATCGCAATGCCAGATTTGAAAAATCCGATTAATGCTTCAAAAGTTTCAGAATTGTTGAATTTGAAAGAGTGGTTCGTGAAAAAGTGGTGAAATGTGGATTGGGAACTCTCCAGATTTAAATCCCGCCGAAAATGTCGGAGTTTTCGTTCAACAATGCACAGAAGAATTGTTGGAAATTCGAATGCTTTTCGAATGCCTTGATAATGGATGCAGAACGCATTCGAAACGCGTCGGCCAACTCATCACTATCTACAACTTTTACC